GTTTAAGAAGATGTTCCTCGGATAAAGTGTGCTGTGTGGAGAGAGCTATTTCGCTTTTCAATCAATCGTCCCCGAAGAGCCAATCTCGCAGCCACTGAAACGATTAGCCTCGCCGCTTTCTAACTAATCAACATATATTATATCCTAACTACATGCGCGTATGTATAACGTGACATTAACATCTTCCATTCTTTTGAGCGGCATGCCCGCGATTCATAAATTTTATACATTATTGCTTTTCCACGTCACGCACGCACAATCCGCCTCGCGCTTTTTCTCATTTCTGATTATTCAACAATTTTAATTTAATTAAATTGTTACTATTTAATAGGATCCTCTTTCTAGTTCATTAAATAATACTTACTAATTAAAATTAACCAACGTGTCGAGAAAAGACATGCTAGTGTTGCATTAAACCACAATAAATCTGATTCCATTCCTATTTTTTCTTGTACCATATATCTGTTGTATATATATTGGATATCAGTTTTTATCTGTTTTTTATGCGTTTTAAGCGGAAAATAGTTTATGATTAACATAAAGGTATGGTTATTAAAAGATTAAGATACAATTTTTAGATAAAAATTTAAAATGCTGCTATTGCAAAGATAAATATAGATAATTAGGCACAGTTTGATCAACAATTAGGTAAAATTAATTTTAAAAAATACTTGATTATAATTGTAATTGATTCTAATTTTTTTTTTGTGCAATGAGATCGTAAATAATGAAATTACGATGCATATAGTAGCGTGAATTAAATTATAACGCAAAGAGATAATTACTGCTAAAGAGGAATACGAAAGAACGAAATGGTATTCACACCGGCATTTACGCGTTTATAATCGCTTTACAATCTGCACAGTAATAGTACAATTTATATTATTATTTAATGTAATATAATTCAGGGAAGAGCGCGGGGAACGATTGGCACGCACAAACGCACTCTCGTATTTTGCACGCAGGATTCACACGCACACAAGGCGATAGTTACACTTGCGCTTAGATCGACGAATGTCACCTAATTGAATTACCGTATTACAACTTGTCGTCTAATTCGCACTTGTCCATGTACAAACAATATGCAGCCAGAACGCGCTGGCTGTCTGCATTTATCTTGCATTACTTTTATATATATATATAT